TGGTTTCAATAACCTTAAATATCAACGCTTCCCGTATTATAAAAGAAACGAATATTATTATGAAAACTGTCGCCAAAAGATGGCAAAATTATTGTCGCGTCATTGTGTTCAACAACCATATCAATATGATGGATGGCTTTTACTTTTTTTATGATATCTAACCAGGTAGGTATGCGCCATTTCTTGAGACAATAGATTGGCGAATAGGTACCTACGTAACACTTGGTTGCAATATAATAATTATTTATTGTTTGTAATCGTTTTCTATATGTGTTTATTTGTTATTGCGAGTAGTCATGTTTCTAATTAGAAGCCTAGTTGTATTGTATAGGTAGTTTCTAGACTGTTCGGTTCATATGACGAGCAACGGGCATTTACCTTGCCGATGGTATAGGATTTGATTTTTTGTCTGGTTTTATAATATATTGTTTATTTGGGGAAATAAATATCACTCTTTTCTAACTCCTGAAGAGTTTGATTCGAGTGTCCTCTATCGAGTATAGTTTTTTCCTTCATCATACCTACATAACACGCTCTGTTATTTATTTCTATTTTTATTTTTTTCAATGTAAGATTCAAATTAAGAAAATATACAAATTGTTAACTGGAGCTCTATCTTTTTAACTAAATGAAAAGAGTTCATGTTATGCATGTGTACCTTTATTAATTTCATTAGTTTCCTCAGCAACCCCGTCCCGAACTAAATATCCAAAAATCACAAACAGAACACAAAATATCAAACTTTTAGTCATCACCTTTTTAGTGCCACCAAACATTCGCATTTTTTCAGTTTTCACACGCGACGCGTAAAATTATCAGAGCGTATAGAAAAGCAAGTATTTTCACTTATTATTTATTGCTATTATCACTCTGCTTTAATTATTAAAATTTGTTTAATTTTTCCATTTTTTTCTTATTTTGACTCCCGAAAATATTTGATTGCGAAAAATTAGTCTTTCGACGCGAATGATGGTTCAAACGAGAGTAAAATTGAATCGAAAGAGAAATTTTAAAACCACCATCATTCCGTGGTCGGTCGTTCTAAAAATTGACCATCGCTTGGTATATAATCTCCAATTCTATGCTGGTTGGTTTTTTTTTTTTGACATTTCTCTTTCACTTGCTACGATATTTTATTGCTTGCCGCTTCGTGGTTTCAGCCATGTCATAATGAATGATAGTTTTAAGAAATTCTGCAAGGTCCTAGAAAATTGCTGAAAAATGGTGGTAAGTGGAACTATTCCGTATGAGTGCAAAGTTCAACAAGCGACATGAAACCGATTTTCGTTAGTTATTTTATACTATTTTTAATTAAATTGATAATACCTAATATCCGTTTTGCTTTTACAAAAGGTGCGCTCTTTCAACAGCTAAGCATACCTACATTGGAAAATACATAAAGTTATGCACTAGCTCATAACATAATATTATCTATGTAACACGAGTGTTTTGAGGGATATTTTCTGCAAAGTATGCACCTACAACATTATCTGTTTCTAAACCTGCCAAGAAAGTACCTAGTTAGTAGTTTTTTTTTTTCTAATTGAATGCTAATTACAAAGTATGACGAATTGTGTAACAGCGAATTACATTGAAAGTTCTCCGAAGATAATTGCTGCTCTTTCTTCCATTATATTTCTCGAAAGAAAGTTATTTCATCCATCACTTGGCCGTCAGATTGTTTTTTTTTTATTCGTAATCATCAACCAACTAAAACCGTATTACAGAGAAACGCAAAATATTTTAAATATGTTATGCATTGACAAGAGATAGGATCAGGGATTATTGTACAATTTGTATAGATGCAAAAAAGGCCTTTTACACACGCAGTTTATTTTTCTACCACATAAATGGGTTCTTCCACTTAAATTTAAATTAAGCATAAAATCCTAAATGAAGGACTATTTTAGGTTTATTTGCCAAAAAAAATTGCCCAAGAACTAAAATGAGTTTTCTATAGACACTTCAAAAGTAGAAGAATTAAAAATCCCTATAACGCGCCATTCTATGACGTATAAGAGATATGAAGATCTTCTACCAATCAAATTTAAAAAGATTCCATCAATATAGCACGAACAGTTATTCCGGTGGAAACGTCGGGAAAGTCAGCAACATAGTGGAAGCAGGATCTAGAAAAAATGCACCTCTGCTTGTGCTGCTATATCACTGCTTTGTCGTGCTTCAAACCGCAAACAGCAACACCCATCGTTTCCGAAATATATTAATTTCCATTTCATTGCTAACTTCACCCTTGACAACACATTGGAAGCAGGATCACTGATACAGGTTCCTGCTTATGCTGCTATGGTCCTGCCTCATTTTGGTTCAAATCTGACCCAGGCAACACGAACTATTTTCGAGATTAACGATTTATTTTGGTTGCTAGCTTCATCTGTATGGCAACACTCTGGAAGCAGGATTGCTCAAACACGTTCCTGCTTGTGTTGCTATGGTCCTGCCTCATCCTGCTTTAAACCACACTTCGGCAACACTAACTTTATTCTTGATATAGTTGTTTCCATTATGGTTGGTAATTTCACCCTTGGCTTGGTAACTTCACATTGGATGCAGGATCGCTCCAAAATTTTCCTGCTTGCATTGCTATGGTCCTGCCTCAACTCAAACTTCTGCAATCACCCCAGCAATACCTAATATTTTTGAGATACACACGAGAGTCTAGTCGTAGGAATAAGGCGAGCTCGAGGCACCATTGCCAAGTGGATCATAATGAGTTAGTGATTCCCACGAGACCAACGAAACGAGACTTTCATAAAGTCTTGTCTCGTCTCACCGATGAAAAAGAAGTCTTGTCTCGTACGAAAGCTCGCGAGAGTTTCGCAATTAGTGTATCGAAATCTCAAAATAACAACTGTTGAAAAATAACAAAATTCATGTTTCTATGCTTTTTTTGCCAATTTCCAATCTAATCTCATAAAAACTCGTACCGTACCTAAAACCCTAGCGCAAGAAGCAGGCGAGTGGCGACGCGCCGATGCAGACGGAACAGTGCAGGTCAGTACAGTGTAATGTGGTAGGCGCGCGCAGTGTAGGAAATTAGCGCACATTCAATTTGTTTAGTGGAGTTATTTTTTTTTGTCTGGCATTATGAGGGATAAATGTGGCTAGTTAGCTGATGAAGAATATAAGTGGTTTTAATGCCTGCTCTCGGTTCGAAATGTCCACAGAACTTATGGCGCATTTACTCGATTTCGAACTGTGATTACCATCCCAACAAACACAGTACGTACTGAAGACGTACATTTTAGGTGTTTTTCACGTCGGTTCGTCGGGGATGTAAAAATACGTTTTGAGTACGTACGTGAAAGGCTGTATTGATATACAGATAAGAAAGTACGTACTAAGAACGTACGTGAAAATCTATATTGCGTACGTACAATTTTGTGGAAAACGACCGTCTTAAAGACGTCCTTCGGACGTCGGCGGGACCTGAAAAGTACAGGGTATTTGATTATATTTGGCACCATACCTACAGCCTTTACTATTTAAGATAGAAAAAAATTTTAAATACAAAACTTGACAGTTATTTTCTATATTTTCTGATAACGTTATCAGAAAAAACAAAATCGCATCGGAAAAAGGAGAAACGTAAGCAACTGCGACTTTTTTTAATGGAACACCCTGTATATTATGCGATAAAATGAAAGATCTATTCTTTCTGATTCCAAATATATATATATATATTGATAACATTTGCGTGACCATATTTTGACATATCTCAAATTAAATTATAAAGAATTTGCAGAGAAGTTCCATAAGGATCTCTATCTTTATAAAATTTCTTTGAAATCTATATATATATAAAACACAGTTGTGTTGGTGTTGAGCGCTTATAACTCGAGAACGGCTGGACTGATTTTTATGATTTTTGCTTTATTGGATTTGTCTTTGTCCATCCTACGATAATAAATCGAAAAAATCCAAAAATAAAACAAAACAAACACTTTGCACAAAAACAATTTGAGGAAAGCACTTTATTTTTAATTGTTCTTCACAGTAAAAATGTCCAAAAATAAATAGAATGACAATGTTTTGATTGTGTATTTTATTTTGTTGTTGTTTCGTTCATTCGGAAAGAGCGCGAACTGATCTACCTGTCATTTCTTGACGCTTGACCATTGACGTTCTGTGGCTAAGTTCCATTTCTCCTCTTAGGGAGGATTTACATGCATCCGTTTTTCCGACGAAATATGTCCGTTTAACATTCTATTCTGACATAATCGTAAATAAATATGTCAAAATAGAAGACTTTACGGACATATTTTGACGGAAAAACGGATGCATGAAAATCCTCCCTTAGGCATCCCCTGACAGCCGTGTTCCGTGCGGACTGTTCGGAGTGCTCCGTCCGGCTGGTGTCGAGTGGAAGTGAGCCAGGTTATGAGTCCGCCACAACCATTTTGTATACGGCGCCATATATGATAGGTACCTAGAACGAAGCTCGCCGATGCGCGGTAATTTCATTGCAGCTACAGTAGAACCATGCTACTCAGGAACTGGAGATATTTAGAACAGAACTATTCCACTATTCCGATCAGATAGAGTGGTGCAGAAAGAGTAGATCAGATAGAATAGTGCAGATAGAGTAGAACAGATGGTGCAGTGCAGATAGAGTGAAACAGGGCTGCGCTGAACAGAGGCTTTTCTGAAAAGAATTACTCTGGACAGATAGAGTACTGCAGTAAGAGCGGTGTTCGAAACAGTTACGGTTTGAACTCTTCGGAGCAGCTCTGTTTTACTATTCTGTATGCGACGCCATCTATGATACCAGATAGAAACCTTTTACATTGTGATAGGTTATGTTTATGTGATTGTGCGGTGCGATAATTAATTTCAATCGGTAATTTTGAACTGTGTTTGAATTTCTAATTTTGTGGATTCTATTTTTGATCGTGAATTTCATGCGGTAAGAAATGTTCACATTATGAAGTTATGTTTTTGTAATTTTGAATGGCCTAACTAATTTCACAGTGTTATCTACAATGCCGCGTGCCAGAAGATCTAATCTTTCACGACTAAGCCGAAATACAATTAGATGTCGAAATACTAAAAATCAATCTACTGCACGTCAACAAGAGGTAGCACGAGAAGAACAAAGAGAGGCAAGACGTCAAACAGAAGGGGTGGCACTGAGAAACCGCCGAGCTCAACAAACAGATCTTCGACGCCCAAGTAGAAATGCTCCAAGTGTTGATTTGGATCGAGCAGCCATTCAATATTGTTGTTCAATTGACTACAGCACACATCCTTTAGTTCAAATTGGCCCAATGGAGGCTGTATGCGGCCACTGCGGTGCATTGAAGTTCGCTGGAGAATCGCCTGGATTGTGCTGTCTCGGTGGAAAGGTGAAATTGTCATTATTGCCTCCAGCACCTGATCTATTGAATTCATTGCTTCGTGGTGAAACACCAGAATCACGCCATTTTTTATCGAACATTCAAAGATACAACACATGTTTCCAAATGACTTCATTTGGAGCAGACATTATCGTAGAACGCGGATTCAATCCAACATTCAAGGTAATTTCTGATTAGTTTTCTTCGACCCGCGACTTCGTTCACGTAATTTGCTGGACAATACGGTTTAGTGTTAAAATCTTCGACTTTACAGATTCAAGGCCAAATTCACCATCGAATTGGATCATTGCAACCGCTTGAAGACGCAGGCCATAAATTCCTCCAAATTTACTTTATGAAAAATATGGAGGAACAACTTGATCGGCGTCAAACGATCAATAAAACAATGAATCGAGAAATTCTTCAAGATCTGCAGCAACTACTTCATGAACATCATGCATTGGTTCGATTGTTCCAAACTGCATTGGATCGCATGCCAAGTGATGACTATAAAGTCGTGATCAGAGCGGATAAACGACCAGCTGGTTCTCACGAACGCCAATTCAACGCTCCAACAATAGATGAAGTCGCAATTGTCATTGTTGGTGAAAACGTGAAAACACGCGATATTGTGCTTACATGTCGCGACACTGGACAACTGCAACGAATATGCGAAACTCACCGTTCATACGATGCATTGCAGTATCCGCTGATGTTTTGGCAAGGAGACGATGGATATCACTTCAATATCAAAATGGTGAACGGTGTGTATTATCATTTTTATTCAACATGACACATTCATTTTCAACATGATTTTTTTTCAGGTGAGGAAACTATCAAGAAGGTTAGCTCGATGAACTATTACGCATATCGTTTGATGATTCGTCATAATACTGACAATTATCTACTGCGATTTCGGAGATTATTTCAGCAATATTGCGTCGACATGTACGTCAAAATCGAAACAGAGCGCCTCAATTTCATTCGGTTGAACCAAGCCAAACTGCGTTCGGAGGAGTATATTCATTTACGCGATGCAATCAGCACTGAAGGAGATGTAAATAATGTTGGTCGATTAACAATTCTACCAGCGACGTACATTGGCAGTCCACGTCTTATGCATGAATATGCGCAAGATGCAATGACATATGTTCGTCATTACGGTCGTCCAGATCTATTCATCACTTTTACGTGCAATCCGAAATGGATAGAAATTGTTCAACTGCTGCTTCCCGGGCAAACCTCAAGTGATCGGCACGACATCACGGCACGTGTCTTCAAACAAAAAATCCTGTCGCTGATGAACTGCATTGTTAAGTATCGCGTTTTTGGGGCTACTCGATGCTGGATGTATTCGATTGAATGGCAGAAACGTGGTTTGCCGCATGCTCACATTCTTATTTGGTTAATCGAAAAGATTCGACCAGACCAAATAGATGACATCATATGTGCCGAGATCCCAGATCCTGAAACCGATCCAGACCTTCATGATGTTGTGACTACGAACATGATTCATGGAACGTGTGGCGCTATCAACCCCCAATCACCGTGCATGGTCGACGGCAAGTGTTCCAAGCGTTATCCACGAAATTTGACGGTAGAGACTATCACTGGCAATGATGGTTATCCACTGTATCGGCGTCGATCACCCAATGATAACGGTAGAAATATCATAACGAGAGTGAAAGGAAATGATTTCGTTGTCGACAATGCTTGGATTGTTCCGTATTCGCCACTTCTTTCCAAAACATTCAAGACGCATTGCAACGTGGAGTATTGTAAATCAGTGAAGTCTATCAAATACATATGCAAATATGTCACGAAAGGTAGCGATATGGCGGTTTTTGGCGTTAAAACTCCAAATGCCAACAATGAAATCACTAACTATCAAATTGGTCGATATGTGAGCTGCAATGAAGCGATTTGGCGTATTTTCTCATGCTCCATTCATGAGCGTCATCCCGCTGTTGTACATCTGGAGAATGGTCAACGAGTTTATTTCAACGCATCAAATGTTGCTCAACGTGCTGAAACACCTCCAGCAACAACATTGACAAGTTTTTTCTCGATTTGCCAAAGCGATCTCTTTGCCCAAACGTTACTCTACTCTGACATGCCAAAATATTACACTTGGAATGTTTCATCTAAGAGATTTCAACGTCGGAAGCAAGGCGATGCAGTTCCTGATCACCCGGATGTGCGTTCTACTGATGTTCTTGGTCGAATTTACACAGTTCATCCGAAAAATGACGAATGCTTCTACTTGCGGCTGTTGTTGGTAAATGTTCGTGGGCCGACATCATTTGAATCACTTCGAACGGTCAATGGTGTAGTGTACCCAGCATTTCGTGCTGCATGTCAACAGCTCAATTTGCTTGAAAACGATAGTCAATGGGATATGACAATAGCTGAAGCAATTGATTCTGCATCTCCAAGTCAGATACGAACATTATTTGCCATCATTATTTCGACATGCTTCCTATCGAATCCACGTGAACTGTGGAATAAGTACAAGGATGGCATGTCAGAAGATATTTTACATCGAGTTCGTATCAGTTCAGGGAATTCCGATCTCGAGGTTAATGAGGAGGTATATAACCAGACTTTGCTTTTCATCGAATGGACGCATATATCCCACATACAACTAAACGCAGAGCTAATGCAAAACCTTGGTTCAACAGCCAGTGTCAAACGGCTGTACAGAAAAAACACAGAGCATATAACCTTTGGAAACGACAACAAACCGCTCAAAACCACACAGAATTTATAGAAGCCAGAAATAGTTGCAAAACTACTATTGACTCCGCTAAAGAAACATACAATCAAAGAATAAAAAACAGGTTGCTGAATTGTCCAAGTAGTTCTAGGTCTTTTTGGTCTCTTGCAAAAGCTGTTGGAGCTAACTTCACCAAGTCATCCATACCACCACTTACAGATAAAAATAATCACTTAGCCACAACATCAGAGGAAAAAGCCAATATGCTTGCCCAAATGTTTTCCTTCAACTCCAACCTAACAGTGCCAAACGGAAAAACTCCACCGTTCATTGAAAGGGTTTCCCATAGTATGCCAGAGGTACCCTTTTGTCACAGAGAAATACGAAAATCCCTAAAAAAGCTGGATACAAACAAAGCAATGGGTCCGGATGGCATTCCCGCAATAGTACTCAAAAATTGCGCCAACGAACTCACCCCAACTTTCGCAAAATTATTCAATTTGTCTTACAGGCAAGGAGTATATCCATCATCATGGAAGTCTGCCGCAGTACAACCCATTCCAAAGAAAGGAAAAAAGACAGATCCGTTAAACTATAGACCAATTGCTCTACTTCCGGTGATATCAAAAGTAATGGAAAGAGTTGTGAACAATCACCTAACCAAGTACTTGGAAAAGTACAAAATTATCAACGATAAGCAATACGGATTTCGAAAATATAGGTCAACTGGCGATTTACTTACATACGTCACTCACTTATGGCAAAAAGCGATTGAGTTGCGGGGTGAAACAAGAACAATTGCCTTAGATATATCTAAAGCATTCGACAAAGTTTGGCATGAAAATCTGCTCAACAAGCTCAAAGCAATGGGATTATCGCCGAAACTTTGCACTTGGTTTGAAAGTTACCTAAAGGACAGATCCATTTATGTTGCACTGGATGGCCAGAACTCCAACTCTTACCAAATAAATGCTGGTGTGCCACAGGGAGCAATCCTTTCGCCAACTCTTTTCCTGATTTACATAAATGACCTCATAGATAAAACAGTAAATCCACTTTATTGCTTTGCAGACGATGGCAATGTAGTCTCCTCACTCATACCACCCACAGGTCTTTCCGCACGTGAATTCCACCATCTTAGACTAACTCAAATATCGCAGATAAATAACGACCTGGAGATAATAGAGGACTGGGGTAACAAAAACCTTGTACAGTTCAACGCGCAGAAAACCCAAGCAGCTCTGTTTTCAAAAAAGACCAGCACCGGTGAGCCAAACATCATGCTATCTGGAAGTGCTGTCACATTACAGAGTCAGTTGAACATCTTGGGGGTTACTGCAGAGACCAACATGTCTTGGCACAGTCACGTGGCAGATATCGCTAAAAGGGCCTCCCAAAAGCTGGGGGTGCTATTTCGTACAAGACATCTGTACACACCAAGCCAATTGCTGACACTCTACAAAGCCCAGATTCGACCAACTATGGAGTACTGCTCACATATATGGAGTGCAGCACCCAAACATACCTTAATGCTTTTGAATACCGTGCAAAAACGAGCTATCAAGCTGATCAATGACCCCGCACTTACTCGTAACTTGGATGGTCTCGAACATCGCAGATCTGTGGGCGATTTATCTCTCTTCTACAGGTACTATCACGGAAAATGCTCTGAAGAGTTGGCACGTATGATTCCACCGAGAGTAGCACCTACCAGGCGAACCCGTCAAACAGACGGTAACCATGAATTTACTGTCAAACTAGAGGCACCAAGAACCTCATTATATCAGAATTCATATCTCTGGAGAACAGCATCGCTGTGGAATAAACTCCCTGCGACGGTTTTCCCTGCGGGTTACAACCTGAACCGTTTCAAGACCAACATACACCGACATTTCCGCGCACTTGCCGCTTCTCGAGCGTGATAGGACATTTCCTTGCGAGTGCGCATATCCGTAAAAAAAAAAAAAAAAAAATCGAAGACATGTGTTATATTATGTGCGGTAGTTTGTTAGTGAAGTTAGGAATGCCAACGCCAAATCGTGGTATGAACAACGCTCTCAATCGAGAATTAGACCGTGAACATGAATACGATCGAGATGCTTTGAACGAATCAGTTCGAACGAATGTACCATTATTGAACCACCAATAGAAGGAAGTATACGACGGTTTAATGAAGGCAATTGATGATGGAAATGGTGGCTTATTTTTCCTCGATGCGCCTGGTGGAACTGGCAAAACATTCCTCATGTCATTGATTTTGGCCACTGTTCGTGCAAGATCCGAAATTGCTGTAGCAGTTGCTTCTTCTGGGATAGCGGCCACGTTGCTAGAAGGATGCCGAACGGCTCATTCAACGTTGAAATTGCCATTAAACCTTCAAGTGACCGAAGAGCCGACATGCAACATTGCGAAACAGTCAGCAATGGCCAAAGTTCTGATAGCAAGTAAAATCATCATATGGGATGAATGCACAATGGCACACAAACGCGCATTGGAAGTACTCAATCGAACTATGAAAGATCTGCGCAACGACACGAGATGTTTTGGAGGCGCCATGATTCTACTGTCGGGTGATTTCCGCCAGACATTACCAGTCATTCCAAGATCGACAGTTGCCGATGAAATAAACGCTTGCCTCAAATCATCGACTCTGTGGCGCTTTGTGAAGAAACTATCCAACTGAATTTTTAAACTCATTGGATCTGCCTGGCTTGCCACCTCACAATTTACAACTGAAGGTTGGCTCGGTAGTCATTATGCTTCGAAATCTGAACCAACCAAAATTATGTAACGGAACGTGATTGGTGGTGAAAAACCTCATGGACAATGTTATTCACGCAACGATACTCAAAGGAAAGTTCAAAGGTGACGAAGTTCTCATTCCAAGAATTCCGATGATCCCAAACGATATGCCATTCGAGTTTAAACGAATACAATTTCCGATTCGTCTCGCATTCGCCATGACCATCAACAAATCACAAGGCCAATCCTTGAGTGTTTGTGGACTAAATCTGGAAAATGCATGTTTCTCTCACGGTCAATTTTACGTAGCATGTTCACGTGTCGGCAAACCATCTGCTTTATTCATTCTCGCACTTGACAACAAAACGAAAAATGTCGTATATCACAAAGTGCTCCAATAAATGGAATCGACGCAAAACAACGCATCCAGCAAATAGTTTAACAGAAAGTTGTGCAACAATGGTACGCGAATCATTTCTATTTGCTTCAATAAAGCAAATGCCTTGCCACAACGTAAATGACATTTATTTCAAGTGACCTATCCTCATAAAGCCTGTGTGTAGCAAACTACAAACTTAAAGTAACAAATCCCCCCCACGCCCAAATACCAGTTGTGACGTAGGCAGCATGTTATTTTTCGCCTTAACGTAGGCCGTTTAAACAGCTGATGACGTCGGAAATGGTTTTCATTTCACACCAATATGGCAGCAGTTACCAAAAACAAGGCCGATAAGCCAGATATAAGCACTCCTTAGAGTCCTTAGAGTGTGTATTCTCCTACCAAAAATTCGAAATTTTGTATCCTGGGGTGGCAAATAAATTGTATCCTGAATCGATTTATTCTGGATTGCATATAGCAAAGCCTATAGGATTGATTCACGTATTATATTTTTGTCTCGTTATTGGTGCCTTGTATTTGTCATTGTGTCTTCAGTCTAACGGTAAAAATGCTCAAAGCGTATCTAAAGTGCGTTTTTTTTTTTAAGATAAAAGTCAAAATGACATTATGTTGGCAATACAATGTGAAATTGTCGATGCTTTACATTTTTTTATGTAGAAAAGACTTGTATTGCCAACAGACTTTCTTTGGATTTAGATATATATCCTCCAAGAAACACATAGGATGATATCTATAATTAAAATTATTTTTATAGCATAAAGTTATCTATATTTTACCCCATTTTACCTAATAAAAATCCAGAAACATCGATTTTTACACAGCAGGCCTGACCTAACCTAACCTCTAACCTGAATCTAAACAAATTCGAAAATAATGAAAGTGATACGTCCTTTGGGACGTATCAAGCATGTTGTACCTAACAACATTAAAAACGTTATATTACCAAACAAGTTAGTTTCGAATTTGCAACGTTTATTTCGAAACGAAACGGAAATATAGAACAGAAAACGTCACAAACATGTCATCACGTGAAACGTAGCAAGAATGTAAATAATATACTGTCCATATAACGTTAAATACTCAACGTTGCTAGGGTAAACATCTATTTCATGTTATTGGAACGTTGGTTTTACAACAGAACCAATACAATTGCAAAATAACGTTCTGAAAACAGGAATATGCGAAACGTTTTGAAAAGTAGTAACAAATATGACTTTACTACGTTACATAATAAACGTTCATTGAGTTTAATTTAAAAAACGTTACAAAACATCCCAAGTATGATTCTTGCACAGAGTCTGAGTCTCGTCTCGAATATCGTCTCGAAAACGAGACGAGACCATGAGAGACTCTACTGTTGGGGGTGTTTTTGTATTTCCTTGTTCATTAGCCAAAAAAAGGAAGTATAGTTCTTGAAATAAATGATGGGCTCCCTCTGGGTCCAACCTATACAACTGCCTGAAAACTTTATTAGGCAAATTGAAGGGATTACTTTTGTCTCTTAAATGACGAAGGTTGTTTCGGCGTTGCTCTCTAAAATATTATAATTCACTGCAGTGTTAATAAAAATAGTTAGGAATAAGTAGGTACCTACCTCTTTTCTAGTTCATCTAGAACAAGGTTAAGGTCCATTTTAAAATTAGGAAACACGAAAAAACTCACATAACGACTTCTGTTTGGCCAACGACAGCTAGATAGGTGCCGTTCATAGATGACTATTTCGGAGATTTTATCGTTAGTTAAACGACAATCGTTCACTTACAGAATGACAAAAGTCGCTTATTAGCGATAGTCGCTTATGAACAACATAATAGGCCCCTTTACTCTGTAGATGGCTCGCTTGTTTCCAGAGTTGGTCAAATAAAAGACTTCGGTGTTACCTTCGACACTCCACTTCGTCTTGATGCCCACATGGCGGAAGTAACAAAAAGCTTCTTGGCTTTGTGGGGAGGACATTGACTGATTTCGGTGATGTTTCGTGTTTTAAGGGTGTATATTGCTCTATTGTTCGATCAGTTCTTGAATATGCAGCCTCCATATGGGCTCCACATTATGCAGGGGACAGATTGAAAGAGTATATAGAGTATATAGAGAAAATTCCTTCGTCTTTTCGCTTTCAAACAGAGTGTTCAGCGAGAAGATGTAGTGTTGTCTATAGTGATATAGAATCTTCCATCAATATACTATCCCTGAATCAAAAACCCATCTATTTGGATTTCACACTGTATTATTTATTTATTTATTTATTTATTGGATTCTTTACAAACACCATAAATGGTAATTACATGTAAAGTGACTTACTACTACAAACAAACTAACAACTTGAGCCTGCAAGAAAAAAGAAAACAAGAACGAATTCATATCACAGCCTTTAAATTTTTAAGACTAGTATTAAACAAGTCAGTTTAGACCTCACTGAGAATTTCATTTGTTATTAACATTATTTTATTAAAAGGAGATATACTATTTGGATCTGTACTAAATAGTTTTTGATTATTTGGTATTCTTAAATTACTCTTTGGTACAGTAAAATTTATATAATTAATTAAGTTACAGTCTTTATACTTTATGTTATTTAAAATATAGTAAAGATATATCACAGCTTATTGTCGTCTTCTTTGTAAAAGAGATATGAAATTGAAACTATACAACATAGATTTATACGAAACTATTAAGGGATATGTGTTGTTTTTTAAAACATAAAGGTAGGTAACGCAAGAACCTTTTTTGAACCTTTTCAATACAATCAATATGTGTGGCCTTTAATTCCTTTGTATTTCTAATCAAGAATCCCAGAGCCTTGACGAATTTACCTTTCATGTGACAAAAATGACTATTAAATTTTAAATTTGATTGAAAGAAAACTCCCAAATCCTTCACTTCACTTTCACGCTTCATTATGACATCAAAAACTTTATAGTTATGAGAAATAGGATTGATCTTCCTAGTAAATGTTAGAACTGAACATTTTTTTACATTAAGGAACAATTTGTTATCAGAAAACCATTTAATTACTCTTTTCTCGTTTTTATAACTCTATAAAGTTTGAAGTCGTCAGCAAAAAGTAATACTGTGGAGTTTGAGAGACACTCTGGCAATGAATTAATGAAACACACAAAAAGCAAAGGGCCCAAATTGCTCCCCTGTGGCACGCCTGAGGTGGCAATGAAGGGTTTTGACTCGCAGATTCCAATTCTGACACACTGTACTCTGTTCGAGAGATATGACTCGTAATTCCGCCAGCTTTGGTTTTTTCCTATCAAATTTTCGTATGTTAAAGCTAAAAAAGCTTCTGAATATTTTTAAAAAAAAATCTTCATCTTCCAAAGTTTCCCTGATTTCCTGGAAAGTGACGTGGATTTCGCGTCACTTCGCCTTCCTTTGCTTCGTGCCAGTTTACCGACAATCAGCGGGAAAATGACGAAGGACGAATATTCGCCAAAGTTACCCTCCTACGCCGAATACACGTAGTGTCTGGGACCGGCTTAACAATAAAAAATCACTGACAATAGCAATAATTCAATACAATATAAATAAAAGGACAAAAACAAGAATCTCACTCGCCACGTATACTTAGGTAGACCTACTCTAAGTAAAGTATAAAATTATATATCAATTTCATTTCTAAACAAAATGTTATTGTAGATCTGTATATCTGTAACATATTGTTCAAAGGAGATAGATACTAGATAGACTCCGCCTTGAATACGGAAAGATCTTCTTTCAAGATTCTTGAATTAATTTTTGGAACCCTAAACTGGATCAGGTTTATGAGTTCACAATCTGTGCATGTTAAATTATTTGCAATAAAATTATAAATATATCGATGTTTGTATGTTTCTTCTGTTTTCCAAAGTTTTCAATGTGTGAGTTTCAAGGAATGACTTGTATGATACCATAAGAGGATGATTAGGATGAATATTATTCTGTTTACCATACAAAAATCTTAAAAATCTATTCTGTACTTTTTTTTTATCAAGTGAGTGCTTGCACACAATACAGGGTGTCCTTAGATAAACTGACACATTTTGTAGCATTTTCAATTTCTTGTTTATATGCTACTGTGTTTTGCTCTAGTAGATATGATGCTATATAGAACTATAAAAAAATAAATGAATGAACAACTATCCTTTTCTCTGCCCAGATTTTGTTACCTTGATTACTGCCTTCTACTGAAAGTTTTTTTGTGCAGGTTTGCAAGTTTTGTTGATTGATCTAGGAAGGTTTGATTCAGTACGGCAGGGCCCGCTGTTATTGATTAGAATCTTAGGAAAAGGAGAGATTTTTTCATCATCTCTGTTTGCAAATCTAATTGATAAATAAATAATCTGAGGTTATGATAATAATTATTGTTTACTTTTTGATTTTTCATTTCCATCATGTCATTGAACAGCTGTTTTGTCTAGGCGTTTTCTTTAGACCTGTTCTACTTTTTGATATATGTTCTACAGGCATTTTTCAATATTCACCAGTCATTTTTATACATCCAAACTTTCAGTTCGTATTCTTGGAGTGAAATTGAACACGCTTTTTTTCTATAA